CCCCCCCCCCCCCCCCCCGGCTTGCCCAAGCACGCGGCAGAGGGGGTCTCTGCAACCCGAACCTGTGGCAGCACAGCCAGCGCTGGTCCCACTAGGCACGGGCCTCCCCGGGAGAGGGAGCCATGGGCCGTGCTTTCTGTTCCCTGCAAAGTGACAGCAAACGCCCGTTTCCTAAAACAGCCCTTCTTCTTACATCCCGTAGCTTCCAAACCCTCCTCCTGACCCGAGACGGGTCTGGAAGGTGACCAGGCTTTTCCACTCTCCTTCGCCCGCCTGTCCCGCGGCGCCCTCCTCCTCAGTGCCCGGCTAGCTCTCCTTCCAGGACCTGCTCAGGGAGGCTGGTCTGACCTCCCTACTCCGTGTGACTACCCTCCCCGCCCAACCCCAAAAGTGAAAAAACGATGTCTTCACCATCTTTTCCTCTCCCCCAGCAATGCGGACCCACGTTTGCAGTTTTAAGTGCGGGTAAGGTTTGCTCTTTGCCCACCTTTACTGACACCGACAGCGAGGGGTTGTGATGGACCCTTTGACCCCACAGCGCACGGAAGTCGCGGAAACCCACAGAGTCCGCGGCGGGGACTGAGGGCCACAGAACGCACGGGAGCTTAGAGCTGCTCCTTGCCAACACGACCGTTCCCCTCTAAACGCCCGAAGTATGTCCCCCCTGGAAGAAAAGTTCCTGAGAGCTTCACTTTCAACACGTCTGTGACTTTTCCCTTAAAATTCTAACCGCCATCTTCAGAGGGAAACGCAGGATCGAACGCTCTGCGTCTTAACTTTTGCGTCAAACAAAAGTGAAGAATGAGTGTGTGTATGTGTGCGTCACAGGCCCCACGTAACCTCAGGACCCTTCCATTTGGAGGAGAACAGCCCCGTGCCTTCTCCCGGGCGAGGGACTGAGCGGAGGCCCCACGGAGGCCCGGCGGTGGCTGCCACCCTCGGGGTCATCTGCAGGGAGCATGCCGTCGCCTGAGGAGGCGGGACGGGGCTGGGCTGTTACCTCCCAGTGGCTGAACACCAGCTGCGGGCTGGCCAGGCCGCTCGTCCTCTTCCTGATCTCGTCAGCAAAGCCGAAGCTCTCGGCGACGGGCAGCACCGCCTTGATGATGAACATGTCCGTCCCTTCTTTCATTTCTTCTTGAAGCACTCGACCTTCTCTCTTGGACAAGACCGCGTAGACCCGACCTGCGAAAGCAACACGGCTCTTAAATTCACCGACCGGTGACACGTCCCGAGCCACACAGACACGCGACCGCTCACGCTCCCTGTAACAGTCCACCCGTGAGAAACGGCGCTCCCGAGGATTCTGGTTTACACAACCATGAAAACTTTTTTCTTAAGTGTTTAAAAGTAACGCGACAAAAAAAAAATCGGAGACGAAAGGCGAAACCACCCCAAACCGCACTGCCCGAAGGGCAGACCCCTCACACGGCCTGAGAAGCGGGCGGCTTTGAAAAGGACCTTTTGATGCAACATCCCCCATGACGGTCAGTCTCCGGGTGTGAAACCCAAGGGGACGAGTGTGCCTGGGCTTTGTACACACTGAAATACTCGTAATTATGACACATTATTGATTTGATGAGAACAGCGTGAGGCTATTTGGGCCCAGTAAGCAAGGAACAGACACAGTAACATTTTGATATTAGAAATGAAAACAACACGCAGAGATGTCTGGTCACGTTTTTTAAAAACTGGTTAACACGTAAGTGGCGTTAAGTTATTTCTTTTCCCCTGGAAACCGTGTGTGGCATCTTTCCCGTCTGATGACAAGGTCTACCCAGATCACAGGAATGCCCGCACTTTCTCTTGGCTAACTACATTTTCGCAGTCAGGCCCGATGCCGCCTCCCACTCGGGAGGGAGAGGTCTCCCCGCTACAGAGGCCGGCTTCTGGAAGGGTCCCTCCGGTGCTCCAAGAATCCTTTTAGCCATGAGGGGGTCCGACTCTGCTAAGAACGGACAACCGAAAACCACACGCGGTTGTGAGGAACCTGCGGGGCCGGCGGGCACGTCCCCTGAGGCCTCCGCTCACCTGCCACTTGGAAAAAGGAGTCTCGGCTGCCTGGCTGGCCGAGAAGAAGAGCGCAGGAAGGACGGCCGGTCTCCTCCAGGCGTAAGCCCCCGCCATGGAGGTCCGCAGCGCCTCCCTTCCTGCGTGGGTCAGGCCAGGGGCCTCCGGCCAGGTACTGCAATGGAGACCGAACGTCATTCATCGTGTAATTCTCGGCCATTCGGTTTTAATTCCACTAAAACGAAATCCCCAAACTGAGGCCTAGGGATGGATCACTGAGCAAAGGAAAACCACTATAAAGAGACCCTTCCAAACGCACTTGGCTTTCCCAACAGCTGTGTCCGATGCTTGGATGCATTCGGAGACCCTCCAAACTGGCCACTGTTCCAGCGGGGAAATTATGGTAGCCACATCCAGGAGGACCCGTGACCCTGCGGCCTCTGAGCACATGGCCTCCCCTCCACCAGGGCACCTGCTCCACTATTGGTCAGTCACCTGTCCTTGCACTCGACAAAAAGTCACGGTGCACCTGCTGTGCGAAGGCACCGAGACACAAGCATCCATTGGGAAAAAGATGGCAACAAAAAGTCTAATCGATGCGAAGTTTTGATCAGGGCGGGACTTGGACCACCAGATAAACAGATAAACGTCTGGACCCAAATTCAAGGCCTTTTGTGACCCGGCAGCAACCCCTCACCCCTCACTTCAAGCTCTGGGGCCCGCAGATCCCACAGCTGCAGACCCTCCACCGAGACTGCAGACCCCACGGCACACGGGGCGGACCCTCCACGGGGACCGCAGACTCCATGGCATGCGGGGTGGACCCTCTGCCCTAAGCCGGGGTAGGGCACTCGCTGCCACGGCACACGCTGTGGGCACAGTTCTCCAATCTAGGGTGCATCTCGGCCAACTCCACGGAGTTAGAGCCCATCTGGAACCACCTGGTCCGAGTCTCCTGTGGTACCCTAAGATCAAAAGGGCCTCTTCGCCATGTGGGCTCCATTGAACCTATTCTCTTTCATGGCACTACATATTCCCGTCTGTATATTTTCTTCTCTGATGGGCAGCAAGATTGGTCTGGAGACTCTACAATCCTTAGAGCTGGGAGCTCGGCAATTAAAGGTATGTTTCGTTTCGTTTTTCCAAAATTGAGGAACGGGAGCAGCTGTTCACAGCAATGTTTTCTCTTACGGTAAACAAACAGGAAACAATGCGGATTTCCAATCTGGGGATGATGGGAAGTAAATTATAGCATAACAAGTTGATAGGATATTATGCATAGATTAAAATGAAAATTGTGAATACTAAGTGGCCAAATGGAAGCACGCTTTTAAAAGAAGTAATAAATGCAAAAAGCAAAACATTAAACTGCTTCCACCATAAGGTTACAGCTATGTGAAACATACTATTACAGACAAAGACTGTAAAAGAGTGGAAAATGACAGGTTGATTTTCAAGGAGGAAGATTCTTCTTTTATGTTGTGGTTTCTGTTATCGTTGGTGGCCCTTGCGGTGTAGCTTCAATTAAAACACACAAAGAAATTGGTGGGCACTTCTTATAAACCAGGTCGCGCTAACCTCTCTTCCTTTTGTTACAGAGCGACCAGACTGCTAAATCAGGCACGTGTGGTTGACAGGATACAGATGGGCTTTGACCAAACGTGAGCTACAGCGTACTGTGGACAGAGTGGGGGAGGCGGGCCGGCCGCTCTTGTGCAGATGAATCCAGCCACGAGTTTACAGGAAACGCACAGCAACAAGTTATGCCCACCCTGGCAAGATGTCCTGAGGCGGGCGTCCGTGTTCTGACTGCGGCTGCGTGTCCTCACGACGGTCACCAGCAACGTAAGGGTCCGGAAGGCATGATGACCAGATCCGAAGTTGACAGGGGGCCGGAAGGCTAATAAATACTTTGGCAGCATCAGGGTGACCGGGTGAGGACCCAAATGTAACAAGACACAGGTCCGTGTGGGTTAACGCAAAGTGTTACTACCGTTGGCTTCAACCACCCAACCAGCCAGCGTTGGCATGGTAATGCGGAACAGAAGTGCCCATAAAACCGAGTCGGAGCGGGTTCCCTCCAAGCTCCGTGGCAGTCTCAAGTGCCGTGGTACAAAGAAGGCCAATTTCACACTCAGCTGCTCAACTCAAAATTATTCCACCCATCAAAGCCCGTTTCAAAGAAGTATCACTTTAGAAAAGTCTACCCTGTTTCGAATTCTGCTAATCCCAATTTCTCATAAAATTTCGCTGGAAGACCACATTTATTCACTAAATTCAGCCGTGCTGTTTCCTATAATGAGGCTTTGTCGCCTAACGCCTCTCTCCGAGCAGGGATGGTGCTTCAACACGGTGTGGGCACGTACACACGTCAGTACGCTTTGTTGAAGTGAATTAGGAAAGGCTGATGAAATGGAAAAGGGACCCCAAGTCTGGAACAGAGGAGGCTTTTAAAAGCAAACAATGGCACTTACTAAGACTGTCCCTGACACCTCAAGGCACGTATGTTCTCGCAACGTGAGCGCGTACCCTACAGGTGAAAACAGAAGGTGGAAACTCCAACACCAGCAGGAACGTGTGATGTCACCGCCAGATAAAAACGGTGAGGAGCCAAGAATGAAAGAAGCTAACAGGTCAGAAGAAGAAATATGAACATGACAACACAAACCAATTCTAACGTCCGCTAAGTGAAGGGCATTTTTCATGGGTGAAAAATGAGAACAGAACCGGGCCTTTGAGAAAGTAGACTTTGTAAGTGAAGAGGCCCATTTCCCCCGATGAAGGGATATAGGACAGGCTTCTGTCCTTCTACAGAACGCCCTACTCTGACCACCTATAGACGATGTCTCGCTTTAACACCTTGTGTAGAAAGAACTCAGTTTTTAAGAGAGACTAAGAACACTCATTTTGCTTAATAAGAAAGACCTGAATTTGTCTCTCAAGTTGTGCTAATTCTTAGAGAATTAAAGCATCCGTCAACAAAGTCTGGGAGATGTCTGAGTATCTGGGCAGGAAGCAAAGGCCTTAGGGTCACCAAGGTCTCCTCGTTTCTTGTTCCGGATGAAGGCGGTGATTTAGAAAGAAAAAGAAAAGCGCAGAAAGCGAGCAGGAGGCTAAACTGACCTTGGGTACAAGAAAGTGGCTATTGTTACCAAAGGACCCCTTGAAGCAACCCAAAATGGGCTTAAGAGAAGACCCTCAACTCTGAGCAGCAGGGCCTCCAACTGACTCTGGAGGAAATGACTCCAGACCAAATCGAAACACGGGGTCTCTGTAAGGTGGCAGCCAGCTGGTTGGGGATAAATGTATCACGCCAGCCAGAGCGCCTGGGACAGAGAGCCCGGGACTAAGCAGTCCACGCAAAGGGCACCGCCTCGGAGGGGCCAGAAGGACCTACAGCACAGTGGACAGTGACCTGGAGGCGGCCAGACAAAGACTAACTCTGCTCCTGAGAGAGAAGGGGGGGCAAGTAACCCTGCGGATGATCAAGGTACGTCTCCTCCTACCAAGTGCCGGGACGCAGTCTGACGGCCAGGTGGACAGGGCCAGGAGGAAGACAGGCCTGGGGCTGCCTGGTCATGTGCAGGGTCCTGTGAACTCCTAATGGAAACGGGAAAGCGGGCACAGAGCATGGGCTCGACAGGGAAGACGCGACGGTCTGCCTGGAATTTCAGTGGATGAACGCCACCACGGATTCTGGCTTCAGGTGGTTAGGTGGGAAAATCTGCCTGGCCAGAAAGCAACGGACAGATGCCACTCCAAACAGATAATGTAGGAGAGACGGCAACCTGGGGAGGAACTGTGCATTCCTATTATCACCCCAGGAGTCCGGAAGGCGGAGGGATAGGCACAGATGTGCGTGGACCCTACACTTCCAGGTGGGTCATTTCAAATGCACGAAGGAGGAGAAGGAGAACAAGTTTTGGGATAACAAGTCCTAAGATAAAATTCCTTGCAGGAGTAATGAGAGAGAAATACCAACCATGAATGATCCCAATGACAGAAAAAGGAGGAGAGATCCTCCCCACCCCAAAATACAACAGTGGCTCCAAAATAAATGTGTCGGGTCAAGGCGGGCAGGTTGCTGCGCCCTCCTGGCCTATTGTAGGAAGGCACGCACGACGGACGAAGGAGGGCTGTTAAAACCAGAGCCAGCTGAGCCCGCCAAATAAAAGGGCCAATGAACGACACCAAGCGTGGTCTGCTGCGTTAGTTTGGAAATAAGGCTGAGACGTGCCCACAGCGTGGAGAAATGAGTGTGGCGTCAACAGAGAAGTGCCGGAAAGCAGGGCGTCCTGGTATCCACGTCTCCTGCATTCTCTTCGCTGGGGAGAACAGGGGACAAACGGGCCGGGTGAACAATCACAGCAGAGAGCGCACCGGGGCCCAGGACCCCCAGGAATCTGACGAGCAGGCAGCTGGCCTTCTTGAATGGGTTCCGTCTCCCGGGACAGGACACATCTCACAGCCCTAAAGAATTTGTCTTTTTTGAGAAATTATCGATGACGGGAGGTGTGCTGAAGTACAGGCGAAAGGTAAGGAACAAATGAACTTCTGGGGGGATAAAAACACTGATTCTGTAAACTGCAGACTAGGAAGCCATATGCCAATTCCCCGCAGTGTTTTAAGAAAACATCATAGAGCTTTGTACATATTTCTGCGAGTAGGAGTTACTTGCGTCTGGAGACGCATGGACTTTCTGACACAAAACCTCACCAACCTCAGCTTACTTCTACACGGTTGGCAAGGTGACCGTCGGGGGAACCTACAGACACGAAGGAGACTCACTCCACCCACCCACTCAGTTCACCCCTTACTGAGTTTCAGTTCTCACGAGAGCAGACAGGTGAAAACACAATCCGTGTGTTACAGCTGTGGTGCTGGCACTTCCCAGAATCCTCCCTGTACTGCTGGGTGTGTGAGAAGCCCGAGGAAAACTGCACTGCCCAGATGTGTGCGGTGCTCACGGAAACACACGCGTTTGCGGGACTCCGTCATCTCTACGGTCTGGTCAGTTGCCAAACTTCGGATTCTGCTTTCTGGGGAACGGGTGGGAAGACGTGACTTATCTTGAAACGGGAACGAGGCTCACGCTGGCTTCCCAGGGGTTCACGACAGGGGGCGGTGGCTAAATCCCACTGAAAGATCGCTACCGCGCCGGGGGCCGTGTGGCGCCCACGCCGGTTGGCATCAATGGCTGCTCTCCTGCGGGTGCGGAGCAAGTGAGGGGTGCCCCGAAGGACAGCCCCGGGAACGGTGAAAGGGCACCAAAAATCCCACCGTGAAAAATCAGCTGAACGCTCCGGAGAGGTTTCTCAGGGACATAGAGCAGAAAACTCATGTGCTCCTCGGGCGCATGAAGTGCTCGCGCGGGGGGCGCGTGGCAGTGCACGTGGCCGCAGACCAGCAGGCGACCACAGAGGGAAGACGATGCTTCCTCAGGGGACAGGCTGTGAGCTGCCCGTCGAGGCAAGCATTCAGGTGGCGGTGGTTCGTGGCAGGGCCGGGGTAACCGGAGCAACCAGGTCTCCTGCACGGTTCCCCGATTCCAACTCCACCTCCGCCTCCGCCTCCGCAAATCAAGAAAGCTCTTGGTGAAAACGAAGAATAACGTCCGGGAATGGTCTCAACTGGTGTTCCTCCACCAACGCACGGATCCCATGAGCTTGTAACGATACGCTGGCCCAAACGGGGCCGAGACACATCACGTGCTCCCTGTCACCCTGCAGACACCGTGCACGCGTGCAGTGGCACACACGGGCTCCAGGCGGGCGGTCCTGCGGGGCCAACCCCCTGCCACTGTTCAACCCCGCTGCTTCCGAAACGCTGCTTTGGATGCTTGGCCCGTCTCGTAGGAACCCTACTGTGGATGCAAGCCCAAATTTCTTTAGAGAAAAAATACCCTGACGAGTTAGATGCCTGTTTTTAGGAACTGATCAGCAGAAGAACCTTACTAAAAAGAATGTAAACTAAGCACACACTGACTCAAAGGGCCTCAGAGGGAACCTACAAGCTCCCCAGCGCCGTCCTGGCCCCTGAAGACGGTTCTAGGACCGCCTCTCTCACGGGAGAGCTACCGCAGGCCAGGCACCCCTCTAAAGCATGGACTTGTGTTCTCGGGTTAATCTTCACAGCCTCTGGTCGGTTATCTTCCTTTTTACAGGTGAACAAAGTCTCCGTGAAGTAATAGTCAAAAGTCAAAGCAGCTACTAAATGCCAGGGCTGTGTGTCTCCAGGGATCCCAGAGACGTTCCAGAGACAGAAAAATCGGGAGGAGGATCTGACGGAATGGTCAGTGGTGAACAAAGCCCCCGATGCTCTTCTTCTCCCGAAAGGACCCGGCACTTCCAGACGGCCTTGTGCCTTAGGTGTGCAAGAATGTCACCTCACTCTCTGATGGTTTCCAGAGAGACTCTGCCTACCTGGACCGACAGGGCCACTCACTCGGGAACACCGCTGCACGTCAAACCTTACGCCTGAGACGTCGGGACAGGAAGGAGCCTGTCTGCTGCAAACGAAAAGATCTTTGGTAATCGTGTTTCCTCCCCCATTGCCATTTCACTATTTAAGGCTTTCAGAGCCCTTAGTGCTTTAGTGACCCAGATGACGATGCAGCTTCTGCAAAAACAAAAATTAAGTGAGTCTGAGTTTTCTGACCACAGAGACCTCTCGGTCCTCACCCTCTTTTCCTTACCAAGAACGTCACCGGTGGCCATGATGTCACACGTGTACATGGCTGCCATCAGACGCTGAGGCTTCACCTGCAGGGCATAGCGACAAGCTTCTTTCATGGTGGCAATGAGCTGTCCGGAGAAGGGTCCGTAGCAGTCAGTGAGCGAAGACTCTCCTCTCTGGGATGTCTTCTGCTCTGAGGGCTCAGAGCCGCCATCTTGCGGCCCCCCGTTTTCGCCTCTGCCGGGACAGGCTTCACCTTCCGCCTGTGCCTCCTGTACCACGTCCCTTCGCTCTTGATTATGTTTGTCACTTGCCCCTTGTTCTTCACATTTACTTAGGTCCCATTTTTCCAGAATGAAACAGACGCCCATGAGAGGCTCCTCACACATGGGGCCAGAGAGGGTTGCTAGCTGGAAACCACTCACGATGCTGTTGCCCAAATCTCGGTATCTACTGGCCTCTTTGGAGGCTTTGACGCCTGAGCCTGTCCATACTGAGTTCTGGAAGTCTTCGCTTCTATTTACGAGTATGTTGGGCCCGCATTTTCTTGGCCCAAATGACCAGATTTGGTCAACAACGTTCCTCCATTTTCTCCCTGTCAGGTGCTGCTCTAGTTTTCTTTTGAATTCACAAATTTTCTCTTGGGTCTTCTGGTGGATCGTCTGAGTATTTCTGCCCTCATTCAAAGAGGATGTCAACTGCTCCATAGAACGAATCAGATCACTATTTTCTTCCAGGATCCGTGTGACTTCTTCTGGAAGGGGCATGGCTCGAACACTGAGCACGGCGAGCTTGTTGGGGGTCGTTAGGGTGATGAGCCCATCAGAGTCAACTTGGATTCCTTCCGGGATTTTGCTCTGATCTTCTTTTGTTTGGTGGATAACTGCAACTTTTTGTTGTTTGCCTATTTCTTCATTGACCATGTCGACTTTTGGCGGTTTTGTAATTGTTTCCCTGAATGGAATAATCGGTTCAGACACGCTGATCTGAATCTTCGCAAACCTACAAATTCAAGAGAAATAACAAGGTTACAATAAAAATGGCATCAAAACTTGCATGCAGAACTGTGACACAATGAGGATTCTGAAGAAGCACAGAAACATGAAAATTATTTTACTAGGAAACATCGGTCCTTTACATTCTATCAAAATTCAAACACCACTTTCATTTCGGATTGAAAGGACCACCTCCAACGGGAACAGACCTTCAGGGAGTTCTTCGCATACATAAGAATTTCACCGCTTTGTTCGCTCTCAAAACAAATCAACCATCTATTTAGATAATATGGTTTTGAGCGGAAAATAAATAGTTTCGTAAGATTTGACATATGAATTCTTTAAAATATGATTTGCCAATTTAAAAACCGGGAGAAGAAAAGCTCGATGAGTACAACTCTAAACAAGGAATCACAGAACTTGAGGACACCTAGTCAAGTCCTGACAATGGATCTGGCTTTGATAAATGCTCACAGCCAGGCTGGCGTGACCCAGGAGTTTGTCTAGAGAGACACCTTGAACAAGAACTTTCTGCAGCGATGGAAATGTTCCGTATCTGCACTGTGATGACTGGACAGCTGAAATGTGGCTACTATAACTGGGGAAATGAAGTTTTCTTTTTATTTAATTAAATTACATTTAAATAGCCACACGTAGCTACGGAGCATTCGATACGTGGCTGTGTGACTGAGGAACCGAAGTTTTAATTTCACTTAGCTTTAATTTTAAATGACCACGTGTGGCCAGGGACGACTGTATTGGCCACAGAGTCTTGCACCTCGGTCCAGTACCAAGTTCAGAAAGCCCTTTTTCCACATGCTATCAAGTAGAGTTCCATGCCGCATTTTCTTCCAAATGAGTTATAAGTTCACGGTGGGCAGATTCTGGAAATGGGCGTGGATTGATTCGGAAAACAATGAAACCACCCAATCTTTCTTTATTTTGTGTCTACTTCATTCCCAGGTAACACTAAGGCTCTGGGCAGGTCTCTACCTGCCACTGGCAGTGTGGATGGATGTGTGCATAAACGCATGTGCAAGTATGTGTGTCTGTTCACACATACATGTCATATGAAATCTTGGGATCGTGGACCAATGCTTTTCTCTGGGAAATGTTACGCAGTAAGGCAACTAAATACTAAGAGTTTCTGAAATGGTCGCATTTGATTCTAGATTTGTTTCTGGTTTCTGTAGAACATTCTGGGGATCTGGGGCAGGTATCTGGTTTATTTGATTTTATTCTTTTTGATTAAATTTTAAAACTCAATAAATGGATGGTTTTCTAAAAACAGTATGTTACCAAAATAGGTACAACCAAATCTAATTGATTTTAGAATAGGAAACCTGAATGGACCAGAATGTGTGGAGGAAAATAACAATGTGAAAAAAATTATTCCCGAGAAAGGTTTTGGTTTTGCCAGTGAGCATGTTCACTGTCAAGGATTAGCTCATTTCAATGCTCTTATCGTTACGGAAGATACGGGATGGATGTCTTCCCGACATTGTACTGAAATATCTTTGTGAAATGTGTGATGGGGATTAAGAGTGCACCTGTCATGATGAGCGCACTGAGTAACAAAAGTGATAGCTGAATCGCTATATGGTACACCTGAAACTAGCGTAACGATGTGCGCTAACTACGCTGGAATTAAAACACAAAACTTAATAGAAAAAAGTACCACTTTATTCAAGATGCTGTGCCTACTCATAAAAACGATAGCTAACGTCACATCAACACGTATTTGGTGCTTCCTATGTAAACCAGGATGTGCCCTACACATTTTCATGTATTAAAGAAATGAAATAAAATATATTTTCCTCTTCGAACCTGACGAAGACAGCATACACAAACCCGCAGTTCAACCTCACCTAAGAATTCAGATATAAGATCTGAAATAACAAGGGGAAAAAAAGGATGTATGTGCACTGTTTCTTTTCACTAATCACTTATTCCATATGACACAGTGTGCTGTTTTACAGGTAGTTTATCTTTAGTAGGTATATTAGTATCCTCCTTGTCTAGAGGAGAAAACCAGGTAAGAAAGACAAAGTCACTCTAAGTCACAGAGCTAGTCGGTGGCGAAGCTAGGTCTGACCCCAGAATCCATGCTCTCCCCAGTTAATGCTGTAGTGACAAAGTAAACAGCACATTAAAGGAATACTTCACCATAACACGAAGTAGCTTTTATCATAGGGCATAAAAATTTATTTGTATCAGGAGATCTGTTAAAATAATACAGCATATTGAAAACGTCAAATAGACTAACCAATCTAAGGAACCATCTGTAAAAATGCTAAATTCGCATTCAATTAAATTGAATACCCATTCCTCACTTAAAAAAAAAAAATGAAAGCACGTAAAAATCTCTGACACAGGACGATATTTTTAACATTATCATTATTTAGAGAAAATATGGTCTTATTCTTAGAACTGAACTGCGACAGCTACCGCAACTCTTGACAGCAAACACATTTTTTCCTCGTACTGTAACGTAGGAAGGGCTGGGAGTCTCGTCAGGCCTTCGGTTTCCGGGGGTCCCAAGAAGCCCCTTGCAGTAATCACCTCTGAGATTGCTGAGAACCACTCCGCGCCACGAAAGGGGGGTGCACATCCTGTCCCACCTGCAGAGCACCTCGGGGCCAAAGGCCCTCCAAATCTGGGCAACGCGGAGCCGGCCCCTGCCTCCACGGGAACACAGCAGGCTCTGACCGCCCGCAACTTCCTGCCGTCTCTGATCACCACCACCTGGAGATGTTGCCATCTCTGAGCTCCTGAGATCTGGTTGCTAAGAACCGTGACGGTTTCTCTGGCCCGGACACGACAGGGTGCCCCCTGTCTCCTGCTCCTGCACGTGATGTATTTCTGAAGATGTGTGTCAAAGTCGAAAAGGGAGCTCATGTATTAGAAGGTAGGTTCTGTCCTATGAGAGCTAAAAGACGCTAGAGTTTTATGTATACTCCTAATGTAGGTACAATTGTAAAATTTTATAGTCCTATGGAACAGGTGACACAACAATAATGTACAGACCTGTCAGTGACCACAAAGTAAACACCCACGGAAACTACCACTCAAGTCGAGAGACAGAACGTCAGCAGCCCAAGGACCCTCATGCCTTCCCCCAACCCCAAGAATAGAACCACTATCCCGGGTTTTACTCTAGTCCCTTCTTGAAAATTCTTACCGCCTGAACATGTAACCTGCATGTAACCCCTACCCGCTATAGTTCAGTCTGGCGCGCTTTTAATACTGGATATATATATATAAACAGGATCAAATCTTTTTTTTTTTTTTCCAGTTGGGTTCTCTGGCTCAGTATTATGCTGTGACATATCCATCCATGTTTGAATAGCTTGTTCACTGAGGTTACTATACAGAATTTCACGGTAAGAAGGTATCATGATTTATTTGTCCACTGCACTGTTGGGAGTTGTCTCCAGTTTGGGGACTATTAAAACGTTTGTTGGGGCGCCTGAGTGGCTCAGTCGGTTGAGTGGCCGACTTCGGCTCAGGTCATGATCTCGCGGTCCGTGAGTTCGAGCCCCGCATCGGGCTCTGTGCTGACTGCTCGGAGCCTGGAGCCTGCTTCGGATTCTGTGTCTCCTTCTCTCTCTGACCCTCCCCCGCTTGTGCTCTGTCTCTATCAAAAATAAATAAATGTAAAAAAAAAAAAAAATTTAAATGTTTGTTGCCACGAACGTTCATAATGCACACTTGCCAGGCTCAGACCAGAAGCCGTAACAAGCACCCACCTCCTCCCTCCGAAGGTAATGCCAAAGTGTATTCCGAAGTCATACCAACTCCCAGTGTCCCCAGTTATGGAGGGGGATTTCTACTGCCCATCTCTGGCACCATCTGATACGGCCACCTGCAAATTTCAACCCCTCTGGTGGGTATGCAGACGTATCCCACTTTGGTTTTAACTTCCTCCCAGTAATTAATAGGGAGCTGAATATCTTTTCATATGTTTCTTGGTCTTTAGACTTTGGGGATGTGAAGCACCTGTTCAAGCCTTTGTTCCACCGTCTAGGGGTTGCTGCCTCTCTCATCTACCGGAAGGAATTCTTTATATACTGGGGCTTGAAGTCCTGTGTTTACTGTGCATATTACAAACGTGTTCTCTAACCCTAGGGTTTGCCTTCTTACACTTCATCGTGTCTTCTGACCATCAAACTTTACTCTGTCATTTGTGTTTTTAACGTCTTACTTAAGAAGCTTTTCCCTATCCCGAGGTCTCGAAGATACTCTGTGTTATCTTCCAGGTACTTTATGACTTTGCCTTTTACGCTTCAACCCACAACAAACCCAGAATAGGTTTCTGAGTTCAGGATGAGGCAGAGGTTTTCCCAGACAGAGGTCCAAGCTGCCAGCACCGTCTGCGGAGAGGCGGGTGCCCCCACTGCTCCGCCCTGCCCCTTCCACGCTCACTGCCCTAGTCCTCCCGTCCGTCCGTCTATCCTTGTGTCAACGGCACAAAGTCAACTTCTGCAGTTTTCAAACAAGTTTCGATTTCCAGAGCAGTAAGAACTTCCACCTTGTCCTACTTGCTTAAAGGGTTTTGGTCCTTACTGGCCCTTTGCATTTCCACACAAATTTTAGAATCAACTCGTCAAGTTCTGCCAACACATGCGGTGAACAGGGTTGTGACTGGGGCTGCTCTGAATGTATGATCAGTTTGGGAAAAGCTGACATCATCATAATACAATTTTTTTAATCCATAAAAGTGGCAGACACCTTCTTTTATGTGTTACAGTTTTTGCAGACAGCCTGGAATTTGAGTCCGTTTTATTCCTAGGCATTTGATATTTTTGTTACTGTAAATGGTAACCTTAAGATAATTTTCTTTTTCTGTTTATTAACAGTATATAGAAATGCAATCAATTCTGCATGTTAATCTTGACTAGAGCAACCTTGCTGGGTTTACTTACTAATCCTAACACTTCCCCGCATCTTCTGGATTACTGGCGCTCCGTCATGCCGTGTGCAGACGGTGGCAGTGGCAGCTGTCCCTTGTCGAGTCCCGTATCCTTTATGTTTTATTCTTCACAATGCGGCCCAAGACCGACAATACGATCTGAAACAGCCCTTGTTACAGGGGGTACCCTTGTTTCAGTTCTGACCCCCAAAGACAGTAAGTACATGTGTGCCCTAGTTACTCTGAGGATATTTTTCATCAGTTTTAAGCACATTCCTTCTATTCCTGGTTTGCTGAGAGCTCTGAGCATGTGTGAATGCTGAATTTTATTAAATGTTTTTCCTTTGTCCACTGAGATGATTTTTCTTCTGTTAATCTGGTAAATAAATACACATTGATTGACACTTTTAATGTTATTCCAACTCTGAATTCTTTTGATAGTTATGACTATCAGGTTTTGTACTTTTTTATGGGTCAGATTTTTCCAGGAATTTGCCCATTTCCTTTAAAATTTAGTGGGGGGCGCCTGGGCGGCTCAGTTGGTCGAGCGTCCGACTCTTGGTTTCGGCTCGGGTCATCATCTCACGGTTCGTGAGATCGAGCCCTGCATCTGTCAGCACAGAGCCTGCCTGGGATTCTCTCTCTCCCTTTCTGCCTCTCCCCGGCTCACATCCCCTCTCTCAAAATAAATAGGTGAACAAACAAACAAAATTATTGGTATAAAACTGCTCATAATGTTCTTATGCTTCTTAGCCCAGGATGAGGGACCCAGCCCCCAATTCCCTAAGGTGCCCTGAACTCCGACATGCTGTTGGGAGCCATGAGGAGGCAATGGCCTCTGTCAACACCTGCTGAGGCAGCTCCCTCGGGGTCCCCATGTCGCACGTGACATGAAATGCTGCCTGCCTGGGTCCCGATGCAGCCATCTGTCTGTCGTCCTCTCCTACCCCTGGTCTAGCAACTCCCCTGCTAACTAAGCACACAAGTGCAAGAGAAGACTCCTTCCACTTGGGCCCAGGTTTCCGCTCTGAGGAGCGACAGACGACAAGAAGCCGGAGCTTGACGGGATTTATCTGTCACACCAGGGCCACACACAAAGGGAGGGGAAGGTGTCATCACTTTCAGAAACTGGAATTTTTAGGAAAAGTAGATAAACACTTCAGAGTTTAGAAGGTATTGTATCAAAGCAGTATATGTATTTTGAAAAGCAGATATGTTTTGGGTTTTGTTAGCCTCATTCAATGTAAGTGTAAATTGTTGTCAGGTATTTGGATGAGGATATTTTCTGAAAAGGTTTACACAGAGTAGCTGCCAAAATAAACTGATTTATTAAAATATTTTAGTGCTATGTTAAGGGCATATTTCTAAGAAACTAATTCTTTTATTATGAACTAGGTTTTCCTCCTGAGATTAAAAAGTACACATAATGAAAACCAGGAGGTAAACATGAAAAGACTCAAAAAGAAACAAAAAAGTAATCATTAATTAGAATCCATTTTAGGTTTACGGGAAAACATTTGAAATATAACTCCAAGTGCCTAAAGACATTTTTTTTTTTTAATTTTTTTTTTCAACGTTTATTTATTTTTGGGACAGAGAGAGACAGAGCATGAACGGGGGAGGGGCAGAGAGAGAGGGAGACAGAATCGGAAGCAGGCTCCAGGCTCCGAGCCATCAGCCCAGAGCCTGACACGGGGCTCGAACTCACGGACCGCGAGATCGTGACCTGGCTGAAGTCGGACGCTTAACCGACTGTGCCACCCAGGCGCCCCTAAAGACATTTTTTAAAAGAAGAGTTTATGGCCTGAGAAATGTAAGGTTATTTAAAAACATTTTTTTAAATGTTTATTTATATTTGAGAGAGAGACAGAAGCAGAGAGAGGGAGACACAGAATCCGAAATGGGCTCCAGGCTCTGAGCTGTCAGCACTGAGCCAGACGTGGGGCTTGAACCCACGAACCGGGAGATCATGACCGGAGTCGAAGTCGGACGCTCAACCGACTGAGCCGCCCAGGCGCCCCATACGGTTATTTAACATGGATTTTAATTGGTAGCAGAGTATTAAAAAAGAGAAAATAATTCAGTTCAAAGACCCCAAAAACTAACATGACATTTCGATGGTTTTTTAAAAAGCCTTCTTGAGAATTGTTATTTTAAAACATACCTTAAAATTTATCCAGTTAGCATTATTCTCTAGCCAATGTTATATTCTTCAGAAATTATAAAAAAACGGTAACAAACACTGAAGAGAGGGAGGCGTGCCTTCCGGTTTCGTGCTAATTATGGCTATAATAACACTTAAGGGAGGAAAAAGCCACAACGCCCTTTTAAACCGAGAAGCGAAGCTGAGAACGCGCCCCCTTTCCATCAGGAGCTTCCGCAAGGTCCCCGGGGATGGTGCCGCAGGCGCACCTGTTGGCGCCCTACTCTATCACCGGCAGTAGCAGAGGTACTGTGGCGGGGGCGGAAGTACTGCGGTGATGGAATGAATACCGCGGCCGGCGCCGGACCGTCGTAAGGATTAAACGAGACAAACCGTGCTGAGCGAAGAGGCCGGCAGTCACTTTCGGGGCGGGAACGCCACCTCCAGGAGTTCGCGTCGACCAAACACCAGAGCCGCCCATGCAGGTAGCGGCGGACACGGGCCGCGGCGCACGGAGCAGGCCGGGGGTGGAGCCCCGGCGCCCCGGAGGTCACCTGTGCGCGGGGAGCCAACGGTGCCTCTCCCCCCGCTGTATCTTCCTGACTGCTCCACCAAACATACATTAGCTACGGAGCATTTACACAAAGCGACCTGGGACGCGTGTCTTATGACGGCACCGTCACCAGCGTGGAGACATGGCGGGATGCCCTGCAGGCGTCCCCCGCGGACGCTCCATCAACGAGGACAGAAGTCTGGCCCATCCCAGCCGAAGCTCACAGCGCAGGACTAGGTTCTGGCTGCTGTGATGTGCTGCGTGTGTATACGCGTAAAGGAAAAGACCTACGTGTGAAAATACTTTATGACTCGAGCTTAAAAATGTAAACTTACTCAAGTGCAGAAGTAGATGCTGTCAGTTATTAAAAATGAAATCTACGGTCCAGCGACACCATAGCAGTTCATGTTTGAATTGAGGGCACTTCATTTTTGTCTGAGTTCAACTGGTTCGGGGCACACCGGCGCCCCCCCCCCCCCCCCCCGAGTTGGGGGCCGCGACCGCTCCACGACCGTCACCGCCTCACCTTTCTCTCAAGTCATCCAGGCACCGCTGAAGGTGGACTTCTCCCGCTGTGACCAAAACGTGCTCCCCCGTTTCCTGAATTAAGATCTGGACACAGGGATCGGCCTGGTTTAGCAGCTTCATTCCCCGGACAAGCTGAGGCATCTCACCTAGGTGAACAGAACGAAACACTGATTCAATACGGACTAAGGACTCATCGAACCGCAAGACGATGCCCGTGGCTACTGAAGGGAAAAGTACACGTTTACTTTTCTGGCAGATAATGCGGCAAACAGCTCCCACAAGACACCTGTTACCATCAGGACCCGCGAAGCTGAGCAATCCAAATCCTCGGCAAACACAAACGCCCACCGCTGTGCGTGTGCATCCACCTACGTGCTATTACAAACGCATGTATTATACACCTACATGTGCAACAGAACTCTTCCCCAGAGAAGAGTTACAATCACCAACAATGAAACACCTCACGTGGTGTTCAAGTCAAGAGACGATTATGGAGACACGCTCGACAGGACCCTGGGTTTTAGAACAGAGCTGCCCTCTGTGCCCAGCGAGCCCCGGGCGCCTTCTACACCCCCTTCCTGCCCGTGCCTCTGCCCCTGACCGCGTGTCCTGACCGCCCACCGGAGCTGCGGGCACGGACGGGATTCTGACGCCCGTCTTGGTCTAACTGCCTTTCCACCCCATCCTGTGTAGTCAGCGGCAACTGTCATTTGAGGCAGAGGAAGTCTCCCGTCACTGCTTCGCTTCTCCGTTTGAAGGAGGGGCTCGGCAACCCCTCCATGCCCGGTTTTCAACAGGCCAGACAAACAAAACCACGGGAACTTTCTACCATCAGTGGTGTTTAGTATGTCTGTTCCGTATCGATTTACTTTTCCACGTCTACTTAGTTTTGAAATAAAACTTTTCTAGTGGTAACACTTCATATTAGCTAACCACGTGCCAACAAGTACTTCACAGGTATGAGTTCATTAACTGTGTGGCCAGGATGAGTACTGTTCTTGTTTTAAAGAGGAGGAGGCGGGTAGAGAAGCCAAGAGCTTGTGTCAAAGTCACTGGTTTGAAGCCTGCAGGAGGGTGCCAGCACCCGCACGCGTCAGGCAGTGACGAGCCACACGTGGGTGCGTGGACTCGGAGGGAAGACAGAGTGGGACCCCACTGAGCGTGGGTTGACAGGCCGTCTTTTCTGTTCCTTTCCGGCATCCTGTGGTTCTCCTCTGCCTAATTAAGCGGGTTTACAGAGATTATCCGTGTTAACTAACTTCACCTGGTTTGAAAAGATTCCTGCAAAAAGACCACTGATAACATGAATAACATATGGCACAGAGAGAACAATAAAAATAATAAAGGAAAAAGCTTTTTGCCAGCTCCCCATTGGCTCAATTACAAATTCCTTAAAAATAACAAAAAAGGCACACACCGTTAAAATCTCTCTCTGCATGGTAAAGGCGAGAGCCGAACAACGAGCAAAGAAGAAAGTTTTTCCAAACAAAATTTGGAATGTGGAGACATTTTGAAATCGGATGTTTGAAAATGTTTATTTACAATGATAGTCATTTTGTTGCCAGAAACGGCATCTATTAAACCTCTTAAAATCTGGACGCTGATTTTCCTGTTTAAAAATCTTCCAAGTGATCTATTAAAGATGAAAAAAAGTCAACATCTTTTAATTAATCTAAAAAAAGTGAGATCATGAAAAATATTCACTATCTGGGTTTCAACAAAACCTTTGTGTATCAACTGCTAAATGGGGGTTTTACGTGGACACGGTGACAGAGCAAAGGCGGCCCACGATGCACCTGTCCCATTTGGGCCACACGGTCTGTCAGGTGCCCTTCCCAGGGGAAGAGCCACAGGTCAAGGGACACTACATGCACACCTTGGACGGCTGCACCACCGACTGTTAGGAGAAAACTTGCAAACACAATGAAGTGTTACCACGGCAGCCACCTCCACGAGGGAGGGCCGGACGACCTCCCTCCTGGCATACACACCCCCTGGTGCAACGCCCTCCTGGCGGTCTGGCCGGGGTGGGGCGTGTGGACAGCAGAGCAAGCCCAGTGCTGTGTGACTCCCCAGGCCGGGCCACAGGAGGCGCTCGGTGTCCTGGACTGGCGGTACACTGCGGGACACCGACCGCTAACTGCAGGCCTTGGGCAAGCATTATCTTCTCTAAGCCTCAGTTTACCTCTGAGAAGATGAGGATAAAAAACTGCATAAGGCTACTGAGGGGATTAAATAAACCAATCAACGTGAAATCCTAGTGTGTGGCAAGGATCTATGATGAGGGAAGCAATCCTGGCTTTGGGACACCTCGGCTTCTCTGTCCCAGGGACACAGAACAGAGGGGCGGCCACCATGGTACTGTGACCCCGGTCTCGGAAATGAGAGCCAAGTGGAAAGGCGTGTGTTCACACGGCAAGGTGAGCAAGGGGGGTGCTGCAGGCTAGCGGGCCGGGGCCGCGGCGCGAGGGGGTGAAGAGGGCGCGGCGCACAGGGTGCGCTCACGGGGGCGGGGCCAGGAAATCCGGCCACAGGAGGGCGCTCTGCCCGCAGTCCGCTGGCACGGGCGGGACCCGCGGGGGGAGGGGCCGCACAGTAACCGCCCCCCAGGGCTCACGGGGGCTGGCGGGAACGAGGACACGGTTCCGAGAAGCACCCCAGACATCCCCCGCGCACACGGAGGTGCCAGATGGAACGAGGGGTCAACTCCGACACCGGGCGCTGGCGCTGTGGCCACCTGGCCAGGCGCGTGCACGTGAGTCCGGCACAGGCTGCACACTCGGGTGGGAAAGGAGCCACACTTCCTAAAATTATGAAGAAAACCACTGTCCCTTCTAACCGTGTCAGTTTGTTTTTCTTTAAATTTTTTTCAATGTTTACTTATATTTGAGAGAGAGAGATACAGAGACAGAGGGCCAGCGGGGGGAGGGGCAGAGGGAGACACAGAATCCGACGCAGGCTCCGAGCTGCCAGCACAGAGCCCTACGAGGGGCTCAAACCCGTGAACCGCGAGATCATGACCTGAGCCATGACCTGAGCCGAAGTCGCTGCTTAACCGACTGAGCCGCCCAGGCGCCCACGCTGGTTTGTTTCCCACACGGCTGAGGAACTCGCGACGGAGCACGCGAGGAAAACGGGCCTCGGCGCAGCCCTCCCGCGTCTCCTGTCACCAAACGGCCTCGCCGACGGGCAGGAGACCGGACAGTCGGCCACGGGACGGGAAGGAAGCCAGCTGGGCCCCTCCGGCCCGGCCGCTCCCCAGCGGGGATTCCAGCCCAGGGCGGCACGAGGCCGACAGGCACACTCCAAAAATGATAAGTTTCTACGAAAACATTATGGTTTCGATTAGCAATTATTTCTTTGATCTCGGGTTTAAAAATTTAGGTCTAAATGGAACAGAGAAGAAGCCAGAAATACTAGAAATGCCGAAGAAGAAACCGCAGTTGCCAGACTCAAGTGTCACAACTGCAGTAAAACGAACTTTCTCGTACTGTGCGTACTTCTCAGGGCTGGAGGCAGCCGGCGACGGCCGGAGCCACGCCGGCACAAGAGAAGAGCCAACCGTGAGGGGCCAGGGCCTGGACGAGCCCCTGGAGAGGAAGCAGGCCTCATCAAGAACAGGGTTAGTCCACGCAGCGAGCCAGCACTGGCGGTCTACGGTGACGGCCGGGAAGAGGGCTGTCTCTGGGGCCCAACCAAGATGGCTGCTTACCGGGACTGAGCCCACAGGTCAGAGATGCCGTCCTCCGAGTGTCTGCTCTAGGCTCCCAGGGACCCTCGATGCTAAGGATGTCTCTTAGAACTTGAGGCAGAGACAAGCCTGCGGGAGGCCCCGGCTCTGGGGCGAGATGGGGTGTAGACGGGCAAGGGCAACGAGGGCGCCACAGATGTCTCAGAGAACCACCATGTTACGACACCTGCCCTGCGCTTCCCTTAGAGCACACAGGAGATTCTCCCCCAAAGACCACTACGCCCTGGAAACACCAAAGTCACAGGGAATGCGGGCTTAGCGATGTCACGGGAAGCAAAATACAAGAGTTAACGAGGCCTGGTCAGGCAAATGGCACAAACCAAAGACTGAACACTAGTAAAGACACGGTCCGGCATACTGGGTGGGGCAGGAAGTGCTTTCCAAAGAGACAGGACACGCCCGGCGTCCAGATAATCTAGCGAACCTAGAGCCAAGAGAGTATGATGGATTTGGAACCAAGAAGTTTGGGGTAAGAGTCGAAGATCCTAACCAATCACATAAAACATGAGCTCTGCTGAGCCTGTGCCAGGGTCATGGGGGGAAGGAGATGACCTCATCTCTGCCACAAAGGACACGGTTTCCCCGGAAGGCAAAGGAGCCTAAATACACCGTGTTCCCAGGACGGAGGTTCGACCCCCTTGGAAAAGCAGCTGGTCTGCGAGGGCCTCCGGCCTGGGAAGCTCTCTTCTGTTACACACCCGGAATGAAAATCCACAGCACTGCTGACACAAATCGTGAGGAATCGAGCGTGAAATACACGCATTTCGAAAGCGGGAAGGACGTCACGGGCTTTTAAAAACGAGGTCCTCTCACCTGGGTGCTTGGGCTCCACGGCGACCCTCACGATAGGCGTGGCTTCGAAGTTGAGCGGAACGAACGGTGGGCAGGCCGGCGAGCTACACAGTGTTGCCGACTTCAGCACGAAGTCCTGAAGGCCTCCTATGCCTGCAGGGAGGAAAGATGCACGCGGTCAACGAAGGATGATAAATTCTGAATTTACATTAGAAAAATAAGAACACCGACCTGGAACGTAGGTCACAGAGGGAAACACTCAGAAATGTTGCACGGAACGAGGCAGAGCCTCACGGAGGTTTTGCACCTCTGGATGCTATCTGGTTGCCGTGAGGAATACGGGCCTTCTGCTGGTTCCTGTTTTCCAGATGCGCAGCTCGTGCGCTCACCGCAAACTGGGCTAACACATAGGTACTCTGACCCCAGAAGCGATCACGTCCAGATACGTGTGTCTGAAGATGCTAATTATTTCTCATAACTCCTGGTTTTCAAAATACGTTGATTTGACGAAGAGGGGTCTCTACTGGAATCCTCTCTTTTCCCAAATACTTACACAGGGGTCAAGGGCGTTTAAAGACTTCAAGTGTGAGCTTGCTGTGGCGTTCCTGACCCAAACCACCCTTCACAGTACCCCAGTTTTAGAAGAGGACATCGGTTTCCCCCACCTGCCCCTTCTCCTGTCCCCGTCCCACTGCAGGCTCCCAGGGGTGGCTGCATAAGACTGCCCAGGGGGGTATCTGTCTTCGAGCAGATGGGGGAGAACGCCCCACGGGAGGGTTAAAGGGGGCGCACGGAGCCTCACATCCAGAGGAAGAGCAGACAACACTTTGGAATGAATTAAGTGACACGCACAAGGGCCGTTTCCACGCTTTGGGGTTAAAGACGGAGGAGGGCACGGGAGAGGAGGCTGTCGCTCAAGGGGAAGGTGGCACAGGAGACGGGGGCAGGGACCCCTGACCAGCACTTTATGCTGGGCTCAGAAACCACCGAGGACAGGAAACGGCACTGCTCCTTGGGCCGACACACGGACGTCAGGTAGGCACCGGAGGACGGGACACCACACGACCACTCAGCCTGGTGGAGGCGAACGGACACAGAAGCTTCTGGCACACAACCTAAAGGCAGCTGAGAGGTCTCGTAGTGTGAGCGCATGGTGGGGAAGCCTGGGCAACGCCCCCCCACCCCCCGCCCCTGCTGAAAGCATCCAGAACTCACCCACTCCCTCCCTGCCTCAAGGGAGAGCTCCAACCCATCTACCCCCGATCTCCAACCTCCAGATGCGTTAGGACAGTGCCCGGGGTGCACACAAGACCTGCTTCCACTTTCACCAGGCACCCCTGGGACTTTGACGGCATTTGTCAGACCCTCTGAAGCCTTTTCTGCCTCACGCTAAACATCACTAGCTCCTCTAACTGTTCAGCTCATGACATGATTTCTAGACCTTTCGTGTGCAGGGGACCCTCTCCAGACTGACGTTTCCAAGGTACTATGTCTAGTCCCTGTGCATCCCGTGCATTTGTTCAGTCAAGGTATCCATTTCTCATTACTGTGCTTCTTGGCCCAGCACAGAGAAAGGTCTAGACCGGCCACAGCTTTGCTGCCCTCCCCCACTGGTAAGACCCACAGATGTGGGTCTGGCCGAGTTCCCACCAAGTCTACTAGAAATAACATCATCTCCCATGGGGCCAGGGGTTGGGAGACCCCCTCCCCCCAGTAAATATTCCCTCCAAACCTCACCCATCCTGCTTTTGACCTCTGACCAGTGCACGTGTCCTTCCTGCACGCACAGCACGTGCCTTCACCGAAAAGGCAGATCCTGCTCCTTCCTGTGCATCACGAGGATGCAGGCTGCACGTGGTCAGCACACTGTGAACACTGAACTTCTGCTCGACATTTTGCTATTCAAATTACCAAATCTACTCTTGCTACTTAGGCATGTCCAGATTTGTGAATAGGATTATAATTATATAATTTCTATAGGCGCGTCCGGGTGGTTCAGTCAATTAAGCATCTGACTTCGGCTCAGGTCACGATCTCACAGTTTATGAGTTCAAGTCCTGTGTTGGGCTCTGTGCTGACAGCTCGGAGCCTGGAGCCTGCTTTGGATTCTGTCTTCCCCTCTCTCTGCCCCTC